ACATCGTTGAAATATTGCTGGTGCCCCTGAAAGGCCAAAAGGTATATGCAAAAATACATAAGTGCCAGACTTAGTTATAAACGCGGTCTTTGGTACATATTCAGGTTTAACGCCTATTTCAAAATACCCGGATGTTAAATCCTGATGTAGTCATATATTTAGTGGAAGTTATATTTCTCAAGATTTCCTCAATAATGGGTAATGGATAAACCGGATACTTCGTGACGCTATTTAGTCAATTGCAAAACGCCACCTTTTTGGCTGCGTAACCGGATACTCGTTATTCTTATATAGAACAACCGGGCTGGCATAACTACTCCTTTTACTTAGCATATCTGGAATATGCCATTCTATAATTTTTTTTCCCTTAGATCTGTCGTAATGATAAGGCTTCTGCCTAACTGGCTGGGAATCTCAATCTATCTCATGGTTCGCGTATTTCCGAACCCTACCCACTTTTCGAATTTTTGACGTGACGGAAATATATAATTTAACTTGGCAAACAGAAGACGGCGTACCCCACTTTTGACTACTACGGCGCGCTTTTGAAAGAATTGCTTTGCTGATTGTGTGTTTAAGTGCTAATTGCGAGATTTTCGTAATTTAAATTATTATGAGTGGAAATTTACGCAAAATCTTTAGTGAATGGTTATTGTTTATCGGCATACTGTAAGAGGAGAAGAACACTTCATTGCTGATGTGTACATTAATAGTATGAAAAATCTGGAACGTGATACTCAGCAATACATGTGATGCACTCATCGCAAAATTCAGCGACGCCAGTAAAACAAACGAGATTGTTCGAAAAACGTATCCAGATCTCAAGTCACTGTACAACAAATTGTATGTGTGCCAATACAGAAATTTAAATAAAAAAAACACTCATAGAAAACTTCAGATCAAGGAATAAGAATTGTAGGGCATCTGTGTGATTAAAAACTACGAAGCATTCTGCAGATTTTTGAGACAAAATAAAGGTTAACAAACAGATTAATGCATTTTAATGCTACTTTTAGTGATATATTTCAAAATTATTACAATAACTTGTGCAGTTGTTTGATTGCTTAAAAAAGCAATAAAATTCATCTATAAAGATATATAAGGAACTTAATAATTATCGAAATACTTCATTGCTTTTATGAAAAATTGAAATGTACTAAATTACTTAACATTAAATATCTTCGTAACTATAGTATTATGTTCCGTTTGATGAAAGCTTAACTTCTTTATTCATTTGTTATATATAAAATATTTTCTGATTTATTTAACATAATTATCAGGATACCTAAATATGTTAAGAATTTTCATACATGCATGTGCAGTGTGATCTCATATTTGTGTAGTGAATTTTGATTTCCATGAACGAAAAAGAAATACAATCTCAAAATAAGTACTTTTGGTTTTCCAATTCCTGTATTTAGCTTTAAAAACAAAATTCATTTCAAGTATGTGCCTGTGCACTTTTGACGATGTAAATATTGAAATGTGTGTACCGTAAAAAATATCCAGATAGCTCTTGAAATTTTGGTTAGTCGAGCATATAAAAAAATTAAATGCTGTAAAAAAAAGTAAGTGAATGGAAGAATAAACTACTAGTCTAAAATCACATAAACAGTTCATCTTATTTGTATCAACTTGCCTATCAAAAGCCAATATTTAATATTATGCAAGATTTTGAAAAAAAAGTGTAGGCTACTTGATCTTTGGAATATGATAACGGGTGATTTTTGCAATGGTTCTTATGTGGATTAAGATTCCAAATTGCGACATTAAATATGAACAATAGTAATCTGAAAATTTGAAGAAGTAATTTTATATCCAACAATCGCTGTCAAATAACTTCCATGTTTTAAGTAATTCAAATACAAGTAACCCTCGTATAACACGGTAGATAGGTTCTGAGAAAATGCCGTGTTGTACGAGACCCAGAAGCAGTATAAAAAGGGGGGTTACGTTTCGAAAACCTATTAAAAACAAATATTTTTTTAATTATACATAAGCAACTTAATTTTTATTAAAAATATATATGTATGTACAACACAAAATAAAAAATATTATATATTTTAATTTAAAGCAACTTAAGTTTAATAAATTTCTTCGTTGTCACTACTCAGTATAATCGACAGACAGAGTTTTTCTCGTGGAATGAGATCACTTTGGATACCCTTTCTATCGAAATCTTTGTCAATTTCTTCTTCCTCTAATAAATCTTGAATGTCTTCAATAGCCATGTTCACAAAACCTTTGCTTCCAACTGATTTAGCAAGTTCTAATATGCCACCAATTTCATTTTCTGACAATTCACGCACGTTTTCTAGTTCAACTGAAGAGGGCCATATGTTCTAACATGCATTTAACATTGATGCTTTCAGTTCTTTCGTCGACAAAGATACGAAGTTGCTTCAGTTCTTAATTGAAAATGTCTTCCAAGCCTCCATTACATTAATTGATTTCGTCTAAAATCTACTGCAATGCTCTTCTTATGTAATATGTTTTAAAGGTATAAATAATATCTTGATCCAATGGTTGGAGTAACGAAGTAGTGTTAGGTGGTAGGAAACAGTATTTTGAGATTGGGATGATTCAAATCTTGTTTGTGACATGGAGCATTATCTAACAGTAATAGAGACTTGGAGCTCAAATTTTTCTGCCTTAAATAACGTTCAGCATCTGGCACAAAATAATTTTAAAACCAATCTTTAAATATATCCCTATCTACCCAAGCTCTCAGATTTGCTTTCCAATACACCGCTAAGGTGTTTTCATTTATGCCTTTAAGTACATGAGGCCTTAAAGATCTATAAACTAACAAGGGTTTTGTCATAAAGTCCAAAGTCATACTGCAGAAAAATACAAAGATAGCGTTAGACAATTTTTAGACACCTTTAAATCAGGATGCAAGTCGTTTTTTTTTTTTTTTTTTTTTTTTTTCCGATATAATGGTTCTACTGGGCATTTTTGTTCCATCCAAGCCTAGTTTTGTCGGCATCGAAAATTTGAAATGCAGTGCATCCTTGGTCTTCTGAAATATTCTGAAATTTTTCAGGAAACGTCCTAGCAGCTTCATAATCAGCTGATGCAGATTCTCCTTGAATTCTTATGCTATGAATTGCAAAACGCTTTTTGAAATTTTCGAACCAACTTTTACTTACCAGCAAATCTGGATTGGCAGAGGGTTCTCCATGTTCTTTGAGGTGCTTGAAAATTTTGAGTGCTTTTTGTTTAATGATATTACCAACCGACGAAATTCTTTTTTGATAACTATCATGAATCCAAATGCTGAGTACCTTTTCCATCTTCTCAATTATTGGCGCCCCCTCGGGGGGGGCGAACTGCACGTTTAGCAGATGTCGAAGATCCTTCAGCAACTGCACTTTTTATTTCTTTCCCATTTTTCTTAATAGTCTGGATTGTTTCTTCATTCCAATTAAAACGTTTTACAATGTGAGATATCTTTTCTCCTTTTAAAAGACGGTCCAAGATTTGTATCTGTACTTCTAAAGAAATGAATTTCCTCTTAAACGTTGTTTTTTTTTTATATTTCACAGAAAGGCAGGCCTCAAACCACTATATTTGGTAGCACAAGAATGGGGTACAGTGGCAAATGTCGTACAATTAAGAAAAAATATCACCACACACGATGCCATCTGAGCACTGATTATGAGAAGACATAGCAAAAGAGACAGCAGAACTTGAAATATACACGGATGGCTCAAAGAATAAGGACGGTATAGATAGTGCCTTTCTGCAGGAAGATTGGGAATTATATTTTTCAATGATCAACCAGAATAAGAAAACGTAATTCTATCTTTCAGACAAAATCATTTGCAATTCTCAAAGTAATAAAATGGGTTCTGAATCAAAAACTTTAGAACAGTTAAACGCACAAATAGCATGTCTAATATTGAAGCTATTAGTGATATTGAATTGAAGAAACTAGTATTAAAGCTAAAAATGAACTGGTATATTCTATCACAGAACTTCTCAGTAGCATGGTCAATCAACCTGTAATGGATCAATGCCCGCCAAGAGCATGAGGGAAATGAAAGGGCGGACACATACGAAAAGTTAGCAACATAAATGTTCCCGGTTTTGAGACATATTCCCAATGCAGAGTCAACACTGAAGAGAAAACTCTAAATTAATGCTAATAACAGCTGGCAAGGCAATGGGATAAATAGACAACAAAGTGCATCACCCATGACTACTTATCAGTACTCTAGTCAGCCCTAATATTATGCTCTATGCTGACCCAGCTGTATTCTGAACACTGTTCTACATCGATCTATCTACATAAGTTCGGCCTTAGGGACTCGGCCATGGTCTCCTGTGGTAAAGTACATCAATTTGAGGTATTGCTTACACAAATACACCATAACACAGGTCAGGCATCTCTCAGAATCCTCTGAAAGTAATCTTCAGACTTGGAGAGCTATACTAGAGGAAAATGAAAAATGTCTAAAGAAAGCTCTAAAGCTTCATATATTAACACTACTGCTGATAACATTTAGGCCTTCAGCACAGTACATTACTCCCAACTATGAACTGTCTATTACTTAGTCTCCCATAACTTTTAATCTGTAACGTGCATATTTTCTTCATGTTGTCTAAATGTAATCTTGTAAATAATATGCAAATATTTACGTGAATTATTATTCTGATACTTGCATATATTCTGTGAAAAGTTCCTATGATATCTGACCCAGAATGTGCTTTTATGAAACTTTTGTAAATAATCCTATAACTGACGCAATGCGATTCTTACGCTTATGATATACTATTCATTTATAGCAATACAGGACAGCAATGTGTTTCCTTTCCTTGCATGCCCATGTTATTCAACAAGCATTTCTTTAAATTATGTTGCCTTCCCAGCCCTCCCAGTCTTGGCTGTGGCACACAAGAGGGCACACAATAATAGTCTAAGTATAATATCAGGCCTGTTGTCTTCATGGGGGTGCAGAGACAGAGACAGAAACAGCTGGTATAAATAAGCAGAGCACAGATTTAAAAAAAATTTATTTAGTTTAACTTTACATAAGACAAAATTATTGAACATATGACTAGGCACACTGAAAAATTAAATTGTAAAGTACAGTATCTTACTGCACATATATTTTGGAGAAACATTTTCCCCCCATGGTGAGATGCAAATATTAGAGAACTGCATTTTATACCAAGTTAAAGAATAAGAATTTTTCAACACCATGGGCCCAGAAAAGTTAGTCTCACTACATTTAATTTCAGATTAAAAATTTCAGCATGGCAATCTTTCATAAAATAGACTAGAAAATTTAAGTAAGAATGCATATTTATACACAAAAGCAAGGCAATATAAACAATTTAAGTATTATAATAAATAAAACAATATCAAATATAAGCAACAATAAATATAAATAAAAGATATCAATAACTGAAAATAACAGATAACAATCCAAAATAAAGAACATTTAAAACATGCATGGTGGACAATATCACAAACCTTGGAATATAAAAATTTCTTTGAAGGGCAGATTAGATACTTCATGATAAATATGTTTCAATATTTAATTGCATACAGAAAGATTCTGCTCTACAGATGTTTGATTCAAATCATGAAATTCAATATACATAATTTTACACGTCTTTTTTCTAGGAGGAGGAATCGGTTTTCCAAGATTCCTTCTACTAGGAAAAATACCTAAATTGAAGGGGATATTGAAATAAATAGAAACATAGTTTTCAAATTTTTGTAACACAATAAACATTAAACAATAAAAAAGTCCTGAGTTTAATAAGCAGGAAATGACAGGGGAAAGTCAAACTGACTTTAAGACTTCTCTCTTCACTAATGCTGAACTTGATTCTGCTGTAGTTATTATACACCACCTCCACTCCGATCAACAGATGATACACTGCGATCATACTGGATATCAACAGCAGCAGCAAGTCTGCTTTGAGATATGGCTCCAGTTTTGATGGCACTCATCAACTAATAAATGATCAATGATTAATAAAACCACAAGCATAATGATGACACATAAAATAAAATTTTATAATTTCAGTTAAAGAAGGGGGGAGGTTAACACTGTAAGGAGCATTCTAAAGCCAAATTAATTCTCACATATTAAAAATTAAGTACAGTAGAATTCCGACAGTCCAAACGCTAAGGCTGCTATTACACATCTGTTTGCTTCGGAAGAACAACTGCTTGAAACAATTTTTCTGCTTTGTCACAAGAGCCAATCACCACAGATCACTTTGGGGTTAACATGTAAAGGGGAAACTGGTTCTCCATTACAAACACGCTGATAGCTGATTGGTTGAAAACGAAAAAACTTGCAATTTTTTTGAAAGGAAGGAAAAAATATCGCGTCTTTCTTTCAATAGTAAACCAAGCAAAAAAATTGTCAGAACAGTGGTCTTTTGGAAATTTATTAACATCTCACGCATTCTAATTTTTACATTAAAGTTAGATTGTTTGCACAAAAGTAACTACCAAATCATACCAATGAGAATGAATATAAACATTTCTACCAATTATAACTATAAGAATCAAAAGACCATTAAAAAAAATTAGATTTCGTAACTTTTACAAAACTGATTTTTTGAACTTAAAAATTTCATAACATGAAGAACACTTTTCTTATTTAAAAACCTTCTTGTAATTGGAAATATTAGTTTACATCCAATGGTTTCAAACACAAAAGGCTGCATAAAAATCTGTATGGAAAGACAGAGAAAATACAGCTAATATAGTGATGCCCCCCCAAATAATAGTAAGTGCCTTACGAGCAGAGTAGTAAGCGAAGGTAACTGTGTGGCCAAAATATGCCATTAATCTAATAAAACGTGACACAATAGGAGAATTAACTTGTTTCTTTCTCTGATGTGCCGTCATCTCCATTTTTTGATCATGTGACACAGACGCCATCAGACTGAATCAGGGTATAATAATAATAATATTTATTCTTAGCCTGCCTCGCCTCTCATTGGGCACTACAGGTCATTCGTTATTAATTAATTAAAAAGCAAATTACATTTATAAATACAATTTGATGTTGGTTTTTCCAACTTACATTCAATAGTTATATTAGTGAAAACAAGTTTGAATAGGAATTTGAATATATATATGAAAAAGTGAGTTATTTACATAGTTATATAAGGCATGCTCCCTTTTACATATCATCAGGTTTTAACCTGGTATGACTTGTATGATGGTCGTGGTGTCATTGACAAAGCTGACAATCTGCCTTACTTCCTGGAGACCGTAGAAATCCGTTAGGTAACCTCTGAGACCTTTATTTTGGAGGAGGGCGGTGTTGGGTGGAGATCTAAGCGACTTGGTGGGTGGGTATGAAGTGATGTAATGGACGGCATCTGCTGTGCTGGCAGGTGATCCACAACTGCACTTGACGTGTAAATGTAGAAACCTCTCTAAATATTAGGGGAACCTTCCATGATTGGAAAGGGCCTGACCCGGTAGTGTTCGAGTAAACTCTTGACAGTCTGACGATCGGGAAGATTGCAAAGGTGTATCTTCCGGTGTCCCCTTGTTCCCATCTTTCTTGCCATTGTGACATGAAAGGGTCATGAATCAGGGTATGACGCAGACACAATCAGACTGAATCAAAGGTTAGAATTCTAACCTCCATGGATTGAATGATGTGGTTGACAATTTTTCGCTTGTAGCAACAAGGATTTTTATCTTGAATCAGATGTTTAAAAAAAGATGACTTTATTTTTAATTACTTTTCCTTTAATATTTTAATTGAATAATCTATTTAATCTGTAATTATTTTCAGTTGATACAATTATTTTTAACTGCCCACCTAATTATTTAATATTATTTTAAATGATTCTATTATGTATTTCAATAATAATAAAATTTTAATTAATGGATTTTGTACAATTATGCAAGTTCTAAATAGCAGGTACTTAACTTTCAACAACTGAGCTGCTAGCCACCCATCTTACAAGATCACCTGGACTTTGAAACGAAAATATTTTATCACCTGCAGCAGAAAACGACCATGGCGTCACCGTGAAATGTACCTGCGAAGCACACAGACAATACCTCCTAACAGAATAGTTATTACTTTAGAAATATTAATAATCATTTATCAAATTATTTAAGTGCGAAAAGAATTAATTGTAAAACGAAAATTTTTTCTGCAAAATAGGGGCAGGTGAAAATCGTATGCAAACCACACTACAGAATAAGAAATTCAAGTATAAATAATGGCAAAAATTAATTCTCAAAAAGCAAATTTATGCTTCATACTTCACTACCATTTCAAGTAAAATGAATTATGCCTGCACCCAGAGCGTTTGGTTCACCGATACTGGCTTGGATTCGAAAGTCATCTGAGGCGAACGAAGGTGGTTTACATTATGTCTACGTGGGCTTACCTCCTTCTCCCATTCATATTCTTTGGTTTGGATTTTGTGCACCTAATTCCAGGCTAGTTAAGCTACTTGCTCTTACTACAAATAGCCATGCTATTGTTGCTGTATTGCTGCAGTTCCAGAATGCCCAGTACTGTCTTTACTGTAGGTCGCATGGAACTGTGGACTGCTCTTTTTTTCTTTTGTTAAGTTACGTTACTTTATTGTTCAGTTACCAAATGTTCTGTTTGTTGCTGTAAAGTCTTGATCTCTATATTATTTCATTTCTAGGCATAAGCATATGACTGATGAGTCTCAAAATTTTTATGAGACATTTATTCTAACTTTAAATAAAAGATATGTATTTGAAATTGACATTATTTGATTTGACACTGAACTCTTGCAGCCTTTTGAGCACATTTCACATTTATCATAAAAATTTCACTTCGTGCATAAAATCATTTATGAATGTAAGTACTATTGATATGAATTCCATATATTTTTCTAACTTAGAAGTTAATATTTTTTAACTCTAGTGAGAGTTAATCTAAAAAAGACCAGATTTTCAAATAGGTATTATTTTAATTAAATAATTGTGCTATACAATTCTTCCAACATGTGTAACATTATAAATACTTAATAAGAAAATGAGCTTCTTTCCATACACACATTTTCTCTTTTATTTGGCTCTATTCTTATTTCTTTGGGGAAGGGGGGAGAGATACAGTACAAGTGTTTGGTACCACTAGATATATGTCTCATTTCTCATACAATGATCAAAATACAAATGCACTTTTACTAAAAGCCAGCTAGTAAAGAGATTAAGTACTTATTAGAGCAAGTAACATGAAAAATGTCACCGCTGGGATACAAACTCTGTGCCATTCGGACATGCTTCCAATTACAGCAAGAAGGGACATGTGAAGGGGGAAGGAAAAACCCTTACAAGCTAAATATATTCAAATACAGGTATTAAAACAAGAATTCTTCATTAAACAAACTAGCTCAATTCTTGTTACAAATAGCCTGCATTCTTTGTTTCAGTTTAAGTAAAATTTTAAAATTATTCATATATGGTATGGATTTTATCCAGACTAGTTTTCAATGGAATTATTAGAATAATTTTATGTGCAAAGAAGAAATGAAGAAATACGTGATATTTTCTACAAGAAAAACTTCTTCACAAGCCAAACAGTAACAGTGAAATATAAAGTATATTGAAACTCATATTTCCATCACCTGAAAAAACATGAAAAAATAAATGGAATTTTTTCTGAATAATACTCCGAATGAGGTAAGCCAGGGTAAGCCAGAGGTAACTTTAACCAGTTTCACAAAAACTGCACATCAAATACAATGAAGCATATCTATCATTAACACATTATTTATACTAAAATCTTCTGTTCTCGACAACTGTGTTCTACACTTAAGCATAGGATGAAATCAGAGTGACTCCATTTTCTAGAGATTTAGGTCAGATATCTACTCTCAATAAAAGGTTTGAATAACTAAGCACGTGAATGTGATAAATCATTTTTCGCTGACTTTTATAAATCCGCAGACAGGTAGCCAAATTATAATCCACTTCACTCGAACTTTCACTTCTTGAAGAACTGTTTCCATTACAAAGATTTTTTTAAAAAAAAATATGTGAATTTACAGTATTTGATAAGGAATACTTATATATTCCATTAATTTTAGCATATTTTTTTATTTACAGTACTGAAGATAATAGATTATTTTTTGGATAATGCCACTATTTTGATTCAACCATTATTTCTTTGGTATGTTTGAACTAACCAATTAAACATACAGTACATGTACACAGGCCGCACCCCATTTGCAATTGTGCAGCTGCATGAGCCGCCGAATTTAGGGGTGGCCCCATTTAATCCGGAGTTACTGGTGGTGAATATAGAACTAGCAGTGATGCATTTGGCTTTGACCCCCTAGTCCGACACTGCTTGGCGTCAGGTCCACAATGCTGCATCTCATAACCGGACGCTTTCTATCTGGACATCACACAGATTTCTTTTTCTTTTTATCACACACAATGTAGAAACGGTGAATACAACACTTAAGAAAATGTTAGGATACCATAAATCTATTTTTCTATTGATTATTTGAGATTTTGTTTTTGCTGAGTACCATCATTATTCACAACAGTATTGACTCATTCTCCATACCATCTCATTTTTAAACACCTGCTCATTATCAAACGAATCACATTTCCATTCTGCCCTACAGTGGTCGTATATGTATGCATGAGGGGGACAATTTTTCTACTCTATACAAGATAAGCGGATGTTTCACCATCTTAAATTAGTTCGGAGTGAAATGTTACAATACTGGTACGGCAAAATTCTGTATTCTTGCAGAAATTTTATCACTGTTTCCTCTAATGCAGCCAAATTCCACAAGTGCATATTTTACAATTCCGTTTAAAGCAAAAAATATCAGATTTAAAATCAGATTAATTAAATTATTACTATCAGATATAAAAATTTGATTATAAAAACCATTGGAATACAACATAAAGAACTCGTACAAATAATGGCACGTTGCTTGACTGAGAGGTGCCTATGAGCAGGGTTGTCTGAATAA